TGATTACTATATCAAGGATAATTAACTAACTCTACTGTTAGTTTCTCTCCAGTTCCACATTACTGTCTTAAGAGAGGTCAAGTTCTTAGGCTAAGAGAGGGCAAAGAAGGTTTTATCCTAAGTAGAAATGACGATTGACTGGTGCTATTGCCTGGAAGTCTGTGCTGGACGAATATTAAGAATACCACCACAGTTTAGTAAGAGAAAGTAGCAAAATCAATTAACAATGTCTGTTACAGGTCAGGAGGTTCAGAATGGGGCACTTAGACCCATATTTACTGTCTCTAATGGGGAGGTTTGTGTTTATCCATGCAGCCCATTAGGAAGGATGTACAGGTGGCTCACAGTGAAGGTGGGCTACAGGGGACAATCTAACTCCTGGGGCCTATGCCAAGGAATAATGCAAGCACTAAACAGAGCAGAGATGAAATTACAGAGGATGAGAAGAGATCTCATCAGAATCCCAGAGATCAGAGGGTAAGATTGCTCAATGTTGTTAATGTCAACAAAAATACTCTAAGCCTCAGTGTCCTTATTCATTTCCTTTACGTCACCTGGGCCTTTATGTAAGCTGCCCCATTTCCTGTTAGAAATAGGTAGAGCATGCATAGAATATAACCAAATAGCAAACATTAGAATAGAGAAAGAAAGGATATCTATATGAGAGCTGAACAAAATAGGAGAATTAGGAGCAGATGGCTTCTTAAACTCTAAGTCATGATTGAAGCTGACCAGACTGATCTTTTGTTTAGAGGTTTGATTTCAGAAACTCACAATAGGAAAACTACACAAAAGAAAGGTGACTAACACCTTTTTGACTTCTAAAACTGTCTCTCTGATCCCTCTTGCCTCTTTTCCAAACATTTCAACACCCTCACCGAGTCTGAATGTGGAAATTGTTGGTGGTTCCGGTATGCTCGTAGTCGTGGATAGCAGCTGAGAAGATTATAGCAAAGATCTCCAGCTCTGTCAGCCAGTTCTGAAAGGAGATTACAGAGCAATCAGATAATGTGTTGCTGTTTCCTTCTCAAAGTCTTCAACTTGCTGACAACACACCCACAGTGCTGCCGTTCTACCCTGCAGCTGGTAAGCTATTGCCAAACACAAGTTCTGAGAGACAGAAATAAGTTATTTTCCTGTGAAGAGACTTGGAGACTTGTGATTTGAAAACAATGTGTTCGGTAAGGTTGAATAAGCTAACTAGTAGTTTTATCTTTTTCAGGAAATCAAAGAGAAGGAACATGAAGACTTGAAAAGTCCTCATTGCATCCTCCTCCAATCTACAAATAAGGTTCCTAGGTACACACACAAACACACACACACACACACACACAAATTAGAAATTTTGACGCAATACCAAGAATGAAGAGTAATAGAAAACCTAACGTTTGATTACAGGAGGAATATCCATTATGAGGTGGGTAGAGACAGATGAAGAAATACTTGGTTTTCTGCTCTATGCATGCTGGTGATGTTTGAAAAGACTTCTCCCCATCCACACCATCAACATTGGCTGTGGGTCAGTGGTTCACAAAATGTGTTCCTTGGACAAGCAGACGGCATCACCTGGGAGCTTGTTAGAAATGCTGGCAAATTCTTCAACCCCACCCCAATCCCACTGCATCAGAAACTCTAGGTTGTGGCCCAGCAATCTGTGCTTTACCAAGCCATCTAGATAGTTCTGATGCACGCTAGAGTTTGGAAACTACTGCTGTGTTTCGAGCTTCCTTAACTGACTTCTATTTAATGGACTCTGTGTATTTACTTGCCATTGTTTCTGTAAACCATCCTGGCAAATGCCCACATGGCAGAATATGCCTGACTCAGGCCGCCTTTTCATAAACTTTGCTCACTTTTGTTACTAGTTAAATTCGTGCTTAAGTGATTCAGTATGGTTTATTATGAACCGCATTTTGATAACTTGCACTTGTTATTATAATTATGTAACTAAATATAACACAAACCAATAAAATATGAACACAACATTGGAGTTGTTATTTCTATAGAACCTACGTTTAATGCTTTGGACCGTCACTAAAAGAACTGCTGTCAAAATACGGGTGACAGCTGTGAAAAGGCAGAAAACATTTGTAAAACGTTAGAGAGCTTCTGCACCGTTTGCTTCATGCACATCTTTAAGTTCCCATTTCACTTTAAAGAGATGAGACTAGAAACCTTAGATAGGGGTAGGGTTGATGTAAGACAAACACGAGTATCCAAATTGGTGAACTCATAAAAGACCTGGGGTCTGAATTAAAGATTAGTGCATAAAATAGATTCATATGATTTAAGTTAACGAAAAATAAGTTAAAATGAACATTTTAAGTGTTTATAATTCCCCACTTTAGCCGTATCTTTCAATTAACTACCAATTTTGGAGAATTATTGCCTTCTTTGAAAATTGGTGAGGGAAAAATAAACAGATGATATAGAACTTACAAAAAAGATTTCAGAGTAGGGGGAAAATGAGCATAAACATAACTTAGGAAGAAAGAAACCACTATACTTTTGAAAATGATTTCTAACAGAATATAGCATGAAATATCAGGAAGCCTCCTGGCATCTTCAATAATATACTCAAAAATACAAACTGAGGTACATGGAATGGAAAGTCAAAGAGAAAGCCGACTAAGATGAAAATCAACAAAATGAGATGAAAAAAAGATGAGCAAGATAAGAAAAGATTACAAGAAAATAGAAGCTGCAAAACCCATTATAAAGGCAGCAAAGAGCCTCCTCATCAGCCTCCTCACGGTCTCGGGGGCCCGCCATGTGGCAGGCATTATGTATGCTAGGTGCTTTTATATAGAAACTCATGTAACTCTCACAACTCCACAATCGCAGGTACTGTTGTTATGCCCACTTGACAGGTGAGGAAGCAAGCCAGGAGGAGGTACAGGATTTACCCAAGGTCACATATCCAGTCATGCAACAAGCCACATACCACGCCTCCAGGATTCTCACTCATAATCTTAAATTGTATTTCCTTTGGGTTATTGTTCATGTGTTTGTTCAATTTTGCATAAAATTATATAGGCATAATTTTATATTGCACGTTTTTCTTGTTACTATCCATATCTATATTATACATATTTTGTTTTTCCATTTGACATTGTCTTTCTTTTCTTCCCAACATTTTGTCCCCACCCATCTGTCCCTGGCTCCCTCTACCCCCTCTCCCACATATATCTCTTATTCTAAGGACATGTAAAGTTAATTTCACATTTTAAAATAAGATTATGAATGGAAGACAGCGTAACATTTAAACAAGTCCTAGTCACAGAACATCAGCCCAGCCAGCAGACATTGAAATAACTGTATAATTACAGTTCTCACATTACAACTATCAGTGATGCTTCCCTCCTTACCCAAATAATTGAACAAAATTCTATCTTAGGTATAGCCTACTTCTAATAAACCAAAAACAATGAATGATTAAACAGACATGCAACAGCAACAAAAAGAAAAAAAAAAAACCCAAAGCCATCATCTTTAAAACTCATTTTAACACCCTAGTTTTTCAAAAAACACCATGCATGTTTAGAATCAGTTATGCTGCTTTGGGAATAAGAAGAAAGAAAAGTGGTATCTGGCAAAGGAAAGGAAGGAGAAAACAGAAAAAGCTTCACGGAGGGGAGATGTTTGAGGAGAGATGTTTAAGGTGGGCCTTGAAAGCTGGACAGAGAAATAAATGAAGGTTGGCATTTTCAGAAGAATGAACTAAGTGAGCAAGTCCTGGCAGCAAAAGCATGTTCACCTCAGGTAAGAAAATGATGCCCTTGACTGGAGCAGGAGTTAAGGCTGATTGAGGCCCTCTGAGGTCAGGCATCGGAAAACAGAGTGAGTAAGGAATGTAAACCAGATTCAGCTGGCGGTGAAGTTCCTATGCAAGAGAGTCATGTAATCAGATCATAACTTCAGGAAGGATATTTGGACAGGAGAAGAGAAGGGAGAGAAAAAATAGCTTTTTTTTTTTTTTTTTTTTTAAGAGGGAGTCTCACTCTGTTGCCGAGGCTGGAGTGCAGTGGTGTGATCTTGGATCAGTGCAACCTCTGCCCCCAGGGCTCAAGCAACACTCCCACCTCAGCCTCCCAAGTAAGGGCTGGGACCACAGGCATGCACCGCCATGCCCAGCATTCTTTTTTTTTTTTTTTTCTCATATTTTTAGTACAGACGGGGGTCTCACCATGTAGCCCAGGCTGGTCTCTCATTTCTGAGCTGCCCATCTGGGCCTCCCAAAGTGCTGGAATTATAGGCGTGAGCCACTGTGCCTGGCTAGAAGCAGTATTTTTAGATTGAAAAGTTCATAAAGAATGTACAGACAGTGTGGAGGTAGAAGCCATATGACTTAGCTATTATGTGAATTTTGGGAGTGGTGGGAGGACCAGATGTGGTTGCAGCTGAGGAGAACAACACGTTAGATGACCTCCACACCCCTGGCCTCACTGAGTGGCTAACAAACCCTTCAGGTGGTATTAGACAGCATCACTAACAGAAACAGAGAAAATGGGAGAAGCTATTTGGAGGAAATTGGGCTTCATATTTTAATATAGCTCAGATTTCCTTGCCTCTTCCAAATTAATTACTGTGAACCAGAAAGTTTTATGTCAATCCATAAGAAGTCAGAAATTGAAGTCCCACTCGTATTTTATTCCAGAATTATCTATTGGTGACAAGGTACAAGTCACAGTTGCTATCACTATTTTCCTATCTACAAAATATGAGTGTCACAACTAATTCATGTCAAAGGATGCTTTGACAACTGGTAATGGGGGACCTTAAGTTTTGCTGTGTATGACTCAGGAAAGCAAACCATGTGTTCCTGCATATAGGGGAAGATGAAGAGACATGGGGTACAACAGACCAGATGAAACCTGAAGGAAAATGACATGACCAATTTCTCATTGTTAGAGGAGACATTACTAGCAAGTTGTGACTTTTCTATGTGAATGATAGAGTTTCCTTAGTAATCTGTTAGTTTTCCATGCTACCTTAACAAATGCTCACACTCTTAGAGGCTTCAAGAACACTTCCAGGCTGGGCACAGTGGCTCACGCCTGTAATCCCACACCACTTTGGGAGGCTGAGGTGGGCAGATCACCTGAAGTCAGGAGTTCGAGACCAACCTAGCCAACATTGTGAAACCCGGGTGGTGGTGGGTGCCAGTAATCCCAGCTACTCCTGAGGCTGAGGCAGGAGAATGGCTTGAACCTGGGAGGCAGAGGTTAGTGAGTCGAGATCACACCATTGCACTTCAGCCTGGGTGACAGAGGGAGACTCCCTCTGTCTCAAAAAAAAGAGAACACTTCTGTTTATTGGCACACAATTATTCTGGTCAAAAGCCCAGTGCGGATGGGTTCTCTGGTCAGGGTATCCCTAGGCTGACATCAAGGTTTAGACAAGGTTGTATCCCTTTCTGGTGGCTCTGGGGGAAAATCTGCTTCGAAGAGTATTCAGGGCATTGGCAGAATTCATTTCCTTTTCCACAGTTTCCCTCTTTACCTTAAAGCTGGCAATGATTGTTGGGTCCCTCTCACACTTCAAACCTCTGTCTTTTGCCATATCTTCTTGACTTTGATGAACTTGTGTGATTACATTGGGCCCACCTGGAAAATCCAGGCTAATCTCCCTATTTAAGGTCTTCTGATTACTAACCTTAATTATATCTGCATAATCTCTTTTATAATCCAATGTAACATATTAATAAACACATGTGACACCAGAGAACAAAAGTCACAGGAGCCAAATTTTTGCCAATTACAATCCCTAATAAAATTATTTGGCACTCTTCAAGCAAGATGTCATTTTGATATCCTTAGTCTTTCCTGTATTAATATGGTAATGTCATAAACAACAAGAACAAAAACCAAGATACATAGCTTCTCCTTTCTGAAAATAAAATAGACAAAGGGAAAATTACTGGTACCTTGCTTGACAAAAGCAATGAAAATGGCCAAGAGGTAGTTTTGGAGTTTGAAA